CTCTCTTTTCGTCCCTTTCGAAGTCTCGAAGCATTGCGGGGTCTCGGTCGCGTTCTGAGGTCCACGTGATGAACAGCGCCTTCGGGGCCGGGCTCTGCTTGTGGACGACGGCCTTCCTGGCAGTTGGGCGGCTCTTGTGGAATCGATCGGAATCGGATCTAGCATCCACAACAAAGGGAATGGATCGGAATCGGACCTAGCCATATTGGTCACAGTTTTGGCACCCAGGCAAGCTACAAGCAAGACATGGACTTCAAGACCTTGCACTGGGGCATGCAGGGTGCAAGCGCGGAAGTGGCTCAAGTGGCTCAGCTGGAATCTGCAATGGAGGGGTCGCTAGCCTGCATCCCTTCCCCTCCGACGTTTCAGGTCCGCAAGAGTTTCCGCGATGAGCTGCGCGGCACTTGCCGGGAGACGCTGCAGAACTTGTTCCACTGGGTCTTGTGCGTCCTCTTCATCGCGGAGACGATCGGGGCCGTAGCCTATTTGACGGAAGCGCGAGGCATGGCCAGGGATAATCCAGAAGAGTCCACGATGGGACTTCCGAACAGCGTCTTCGTGCTGGCTGCGAAGTCCCTCGGCCCTTCTAGGGTTCCGTCACGTGTGGCGGCTTTCATATCATTACTGTATATGTAGGTCGATGCCTGAGGTATCTTGTGACGGTCAACATCAAGGTGGTGGATTTCGCGTGGATGTCTCTTTCCCCTTGGTTGAGCGGACGCGAGAACTGGCGTCTCTTGCCTTCGAGAGTGGGGCTGAGGCTGATTCTGCCTTCACTGCCTTCCACCCTGGTGTCGGAGCGCAGTGCTTCGAGGTACCGATGCTGAGCTGAAGTCGGCGATGACTCTGAAGATCTTCGCGGTGAAGTTCGTGGTCTTCTACTACCCCTTCGTCTACACCCTCTTCATCCAGCCCCACGTGGATGGTTGCGAGGTGGTGGAGGGCCGGGAGGATCATCCAATGCAAGGCCCTTGCCGGCCCTTGCCAAGAGAGGGAATAAAAAGCCTCTAAGGAGGGCTTCGAGGGCTTGGCTCCTCCCGTCTCCGTCGTCTCTTGGTCCGCAGGCTGCCTTCAGCAAGTGCGCTCCGACCTGGGCGTCTTCTTCATCACCCAGGCGCGCCTGGGAGGAGCCTTCATGCCTTCTGCAGTTGCCCTGTGCGGTGGCGGTCTGCAGCTTTGGCCGTCTGCTCAGGTGATCTCCGAGGTGGTGGAGGTCACGGTGTCCATCGCGATGATGTACCGGACCATCAAAGCGGAGATCTCCCGGAAGAGCGAAGGCGGGCGGGGGGGGGGGGGGGGGTCCCGGAGTGCTGCAGAAAAACGCTCTGCTCCCAAGCTTTCCTTCAAAGAGGCCGGCAGCACCTGAGCTACCTGGAGTTCCAGGCACCCCGAAGCCTCCGCCCTGCTTCGAGGGCATGCGCGCCTGTGCTCGAAGTCGAAGTCTTCAGGCGCTGGGGACTCCCTACACGGTGACGGACGAAGTCGCCGACTACATGGACGTGCCTTGTCTTTGGCGGGCGTTCTTGCCTTCAAGACTTCAAGCCTCACGCTTCCCGCGGAGGTGGTGTTCAACTTCGGCTTCATTGCCATGCCCGACGCTTCGAACGGCACCGTTTCAAGCCCCCCCCCCCCACCCGCTTGCAGCTTCCGTCGCGCTGAGGTTTGGGGTGACGATGCCTCCCATGTGCATCCTCTGCTTCTTGGCCAGCTTCCCTTTGAAGAGGCTGCTCCCTGGTGTTTTGGTGCCATGCGCTTGCTGCTACCGCCCTCTTCTGCTGTGGCGCAGGCTGGCGGGCTACAAGTTCTGCTACGTTCAGCAAAGGGTGATCCCCCGCTCCCAGGCAAGTGCAGAGTCAAACGCCACTTAGTCGCCCGAAGCCGCGCCGCCCGCCCCCGCGAGGAAGGCATCGGATCCTGGATTGGCATCTTGAACTTTGTGGCCTACATGGGCGTTACAGTCACGTGCTACATAGCGCCTTGGCATCCAGTTGCTTTTCAGTGGAATTGCATCATCGTCGCCTCAGCACTTGATCTCCTGAGAAAGGAAGCAAACGCATCTTCTTCTACTATGACATTCTACGACCACGTCGGCGGACTACTACACTACTGCAACTGTCACCACCACGACCAGACCCACCGCCATCCTCTCGACCAGCCACCGCCACGACGACGACGGCGACGGCTTGAATGGTTACGATGACGAACGTGTGCCGCTGCTGTTGCTGCTGATGCGAATACTGCTACTAGCTGCACTAGCTGCAACCAAGCTAAGGTTACTCTTGCTCCACCTTGCTCCTGTTGCTACCACTACTCTTGTGGCTCTTGTGGCCCTTGCATGCTCGTGTCGCATCTATTGCTCCCACTATGCTTAATTAACTCATCTTAAGTCACACATCCCTGTCCTTCAGCCATCACGCACGACAGACGACAGCTGGTGCGAGCAGTGTCACAGAAATAGTGCAGGCTATCTTCATCTTTCACGTTGAGCATTCGGGTGCTTTCCAGCTGCTCTTAACTTTCGTCATTGCCGAGCGCGTCGGGGCCCAAGATCACGGCCTCTCTCATCCCACGTGCCAGTTCTGGCCAGCCGCACAAAGTGCATATAAGTGCATGACATAGCTGCCATGGTTACATAGTTCGAAATTCACGTATGGCAACATACGGAAGTCTAAACAAGAGCAACGGCGCTAGACAAAATATCAACATCGCATCCGTCCATCAATGCATTGACCCCCGCTTTTCTTTTGGGGTTTAGGGGTGCCGGAGGCCGTGGGCATCTTCAAGTTCGCGATCGAGGCCTTCCTCTCTTCCAAGTCCGTGGCGCAGCAGCGGATCGAGGAGTACAACGAGGATGCCCGGGCCCCGGCCTGGCGGCCTGGCGGCCTGGCGGCCTGGCCCCCGGTCACAGAGACGTTGAAACGCTGTCGAGCGCTTGCTGAGGTCTTGGATGCCGTGCTGTCGAAGGACAGCAAGCTGAACGGATGTGAATGTGTGTCTCTCTCTCTCTCTCTCTCTCTCCCTTCCTCTGGACCAGGACACCGCCGCGGTGGTGGTGCCCAAAGGAAAGCGAGCACATCTGCAGCCCTCCGCCCGCACCTCTGCCAGCGGCCCCTAGGGCCGGCTAGGCGGCAACCATGGGCCAAGGGCAAAGTTCCCTTAGGCCCCCGTCGGTTGGGCGGCCTTGGGCCTTGGCTCCCAAACGGGAGCTGAGAGAGCTGAGAGCTCGCAGAGCAAAAGAGGCCGCCTCGCTCAGTCTCGCAGAGCCCACGCACCTGCAAACTGGTTTTGTGGGGGGGAACAGCTCGCAAGCAAAAGTGCAAAGAAGCAGGTTTAAGTCTGGGGTCTCTTGCATGGGACAAGCGGCAGAGCAGGCGCCATGCGTTTGCAGCAGTCGCCCTCTAAGCACTCCGTGACTACACTCGGGAACCTGGGTTGTTGATGGCGGGAGCAGTCTGTGGTAGCAGCTCGCACCCGGCCGGCTCTTGCTTCTGCCTGGGAGTCCGAGCCGCAAGAAGCGTCGAACGACGGCTGGACACAGTTGTGTCCAGCGCCAAAGGCGAAGGAGCGTTTCAAAGCTGCGGCAAGCGAGGAGGCAGGAGGGCCAAGTTTTGCGACTACGGCCCTCGCCAGTGCCCGACCTTACCTGTGCCCCCATCTTCAGTCTGGGTTTTTGGCACCATGCTTCACGACGTTCAAGCGACATAATCCCAGAATCTGGAGTCAAACACACATTTGTACTGTATGGTGAGTGATGGTGACCATCGAAAGATTTCGTGACAGCGCCCTAAACCCAGCTGGAACAGTTACCTCGGAAGCCGCCGTAATGAGTGCAGGGAGTCAACAAAAAAAAGCAGTGGACGGAAGCCCAAGCCTTGCATCATTTGCATCAGAAGCCGACGAGTCGACCAACAGGCAAGCCTCAACCAGAAACCGAGAACCCAACAAACAGCACACTTTAAGCCATGTGTTTGCAAGGAGCCCAACTCGAAACCTCAGACCGGAAGCCGCAACCCTAAGGCGCGAAGCCAACAGAAAAGCTTACGCTTGAAGCCGAAGCTTGGATCACAGCTTAGCAGGACAACCCCAAAACAAAACCCAACTCGAGACCGTATACACCGGCAGCGCCTCAACCTCAACGGGAGTGTTAAGCCAAGACGATGCCTTGCAGTGCACCGGGAGCCGAAACCCTCGGTGTTCAACGAGCCGAAGACCGGAAAACCGGTAAACCGAGAGTAAACCGGTAAACCGGTAAACCAAGACCACAATAGAGTAAAAACCCTACTCGAAAAGCCGAAGGAGTGGGGTTGCCGGGCCGGGCGTAAGGCCTGCGGCTTTTCGAGATGGACTGACTCACTCTTTTTCATCTACGGTTGCTTAGCAGCGTTCTCAATCAGGGTTTTTGAGGCCTCGAGTTGGGCTCTTCCGTTTACGTCTCCTTGAAGTTGTCGGCTTCCGGTCTAAGTTTCCGAGTTGAGTTGCCACGCATTAGAGCTTCCGGCTTCCGGTGCAAATTGTCGAACAGGGTTCACTCCTTGGCTTTTGGGCTTGTGATGCAAGGTTGGTGGCTCGGTTCATTCCTTTGGGCGGCCAAATTGCGGCCAAATTGAAGTTTCAGAAGGTGAGAAGTATGCAGGGTGCGAGGTATATTAGTTTCAGACTTAGGCAAACCCTCCAGCTCTTCGCACTGCCTGAGTTGATGTGTTTTGTCAGTTGCTGCAATACTTCCTACGGCTGGACTGCTCGCTGCTCTTCATTAAAGGAAGGAGTTCATTGCTCTTTGCTGTCTCTTGTTTCGCCGATTGGGACTACGATGTGGAGAGAAACTTCGCAGTGCTCGTTCTGCACAGGCACCGCGAGCGTTTGCAGGCCTGGCGGGGGATTCCGCTTGGATGTAGTCGCTGAAAATGTTCGCAAAGTTGCGACCCATTCCTGGAGCTGCAGTCCAATCCTTGAGAGTGCCAGTGCATATCGGCTCCAGATTTTGCCAGCTGGAATTCCCGATGCAGAAGTACTACATCAAGCATGCTGACGGGACGCTGACGTCCCATTATGGAGTTGTGCCAGGCACCGCGGCAGCCACGCCCGCAGCGCAGCCCGTGGCCCTAGCCACAGCCCTACCGGCAGTTCAGCCGGCACTGCCCACGGCACTACCTCCACGAGTGGCAAAAGCTATCCCCACGTCGGCATCCCCACAAAGCCTGCGGGGAGCGGTTTATGCCGCCCCTCTTTTGGCCCCAGCCACCACCAGCATTGGGGTCACCCCAACAATGACAGGAACCACTACTCAGCCACTTGTGGCGCAACCTATTGTGGCCAAGGCATCCATGCCGTCCGCGATGGGTGGTGGAGGCAAGATGGGGGAGCTGTGGCCCCTTTACGAAAGCAAGATGAAGAAGGAAGGCCTCAACGATGCAGCAATTGCTGCCTTCAAGTACAACTACTCCGTTCTGACGTCTGGTCAAGACACAATGATTCCGGAGAGCTCGATCAGCCCGGTTGACTCCCTCCCCAGCTACGAGTCCCTGAACGTTACCGAGGACTCTTCGCTGCTGAGGCCCGGCGCCCGGCGCTTGCAACACCGGGCTGTCTACCTCAAACCCACACCAGTCGCAAAGCCGCTAGCCGCTTCTAAAGTATTTGGTTTGGGTGGATTAGTCCCTTTCGCGAGGCGGACGGCACCTCGGCAGCAGGAGCTCCCAAGAAACCTGCATGACTCTGATCAGCATCTATCTGAATCTATCTGTCGGAGAACGCCCTGCTGAGTCTTGAATTGTCCCTCGAGCTCCCAAAGAGCCCCCCCCCATTGTAAGTGGTGATCGTTCACACCCAGGTGGTCCTGAAGCTGAATGGTGGCCTGGGCACCGGCATGGGCTTGGAGAAAGCAAAGTCTCTGCTTCCGGTGAAGCAGGGCCTCACCTTTCTGGAGTGGGTTTGGCATATGTCTTTAATTATGCCTGAACAAGTAGTTAATCAGACGTGTAAGCCTTGTAAGCATAGCTATGTATCTACGGCCATGTTATGCGCATATGGTATCATAGAATGTATGTTGCGGAGCGGAGGAACTGCCTACGATCTAACACGCAAGCCTGAGTATACACATGCGCGTATACACACATCCGGCTCTCTTGCGCAATCCAGCAGGACCTCATCGCCCAGCAGGTGGAGTCCATGAAGGCAGGGTTGAGGGTCTCAAGAAGCACAAGACGTTGTGCGATTCGATATTGTAGTTTAAGTCTGACTGTGATGCTTCTTGAAAACATTCCAACTGCCACCATGAGCAGCAAATTGACTTTCCCGGCAGTGTGCAGGATGGATTCGGCACAAATGCGGCTGGGCCTGCAAGTAGGTGCAGAAGAGCACTTTCCGGTGACGAGAGCGGTCCTTGCAGTGACGTACAAGGCTCATCGTCATCGTCTGCGTAGCCATGATAGCCAAGTTTCTGGAGTTAGTGTAGTATCCGAATGGGGCATCTCCGCGTCGTCGCTTGCAAGACATCCCCACCTCATGCCATGGCCATCCCGCCGACCGCTGCCGCCCCCATCCCATCACACACCAGACACCAGACACCGCCACCACAACATCAAAGCTCCTTCTGAGGTGAAGTTCATGCTGATGAACTCCTTCTCGACCTCCGAAGACACCTTGGAGGCGCTTGCCAAGTACCCCTCCTTGGGCACAGGCAGAGCAGGGGCAGAGCAGCGGAAGCAGAGCGGAGCATCCGCCGCCTTTGCCGCCGAGGCAGCGACTTGGAGTTCGTGCAGAACAAGGCCCCGAAGGTCACCGAGGAGGACCAAAGAGAGAGAGCGCCGCACCGGGCGGGCACGCGCGCGATCTCACGGCGGCTTTTTGAAGAGGTTAGAAGTGGAGATGTGAGATGTTGCGAGCGCCGCCTCCTTTGCCTCTTTGGGAGGACCTGCGGCCCGCCAGCTGGGCAGCGAGCCCGGAGCACGTGCCCGAGCGGCAGAAGAAGAGGGGGAGGCTCGTGGCTGCTCTGTTTTTTCTCGGCTCCCGAGGAGTGGTGCCCTCCCGGACATGGCGACCTGTATCCGGCCATGGTGGGCAGCGGGACCTTGGACCGGCTGCTGATGCAGGGAATCAAGTACATGTTCGCCTCCTGCCTCAATGCCTACAGTAAAAACCTTCCCTTCGCCCTTCGCTTCGAGCTGATTTTAGCTTCTGCCTTCCGTTCTGCGAATAGAACCCCCCCCCCCCCGCCGGCCTCATACGTAAGATCTGTCGCTTCGGGACTCCAGGGACTCAGAAGCTCGGGGACCCCTGGCAAGGTCTCCAACTCCGACAACCTCGGAGCGACCTTGGCCGCTCGGAGCGCGGAGCGTAGAATTCGATAGAAGAAGTTACAGTCCAAGCAATACAAATCGTGGTCGAAGTGGCCAGATTCGTCGTCCTCATCAGCATAGGAGTCGCAACATGGTGACAACACAACAAGACGTCCAATGTCTTGACTTTTGACTTGAGCCTAGGACCTGAAGTTGCTGACCTACTTCGCCGGCAGCAAGGCGCCCTTCATGATGGAGGTGGCCACCCGAACGGCCCCTTGGCCTTGGAACTCCAACAGAAGAGCCCACCGCCCACCCGTTGGGGAAAGCGGCCTTTGTGTCTTTTTCCCCTTGGAAGCCCCTTCAAGAATTACAGTAAAGTCTTTTAAGATCTGTCCACGTCCTGGCTATGAGGATGCTGACAAGAAGGGCGGGCACCTGGCCAAGGACAAAAAGAGCCTCGGGGGGAGAGAGAGAGAGAGAGAGAGAGAGAGGGAGGGGGGATAGCAGTTGCACCTGGCACAGGAAGAGGCTCTTGAGAGCTCTTCAACCGAGGACCGGAGGCTTGCTCTTGAGGGAGACCGCGCAGTGCCCGGACGAGGATGAGAAGGTGGGCTCTCGGCAGGCCTCCGACTTACTCTGAAGGCTGGTAAAGTATGTACGCAGGAGTTCCAAAATGTGGCCAAGTACAAGCTGCTCGTCTCAACACGGGTAGAAGCGAGCAGCTCCTGACGAAAAATGGAGAACAAAAAGCCGAGTTGCGACCAGCCAGCCTGAGGTTTTTCAACACCAACAACCTTTGGGTGGACTTGGAAGCGTTGGCCGACCAGTTCCGAAAGAGCGGTGGCGCACTTCAGCTGCCGGTCATGAAGCGAGGGCCCCAGCGCCTTCGGGTCTTTCATCGGGGTCGGGGCTCAGCCGGTACTCCTCTGGGGATCGTCATTAGCCTAGGAACACCAAGACCGTGGACCCTCGTGACAAGAAGTCGACGAAGGCAGGCAGGTCACAGCGAAGATGACGAATGGCAGCATTGCAGTTTGAGGCCGCCCAGCGGCATCGTCAGTTCTGGCTTGCCTGCTTTTGTCCGGCGAGAGGTTCTGCAGCTGGAGACGGCAATGGGCGCCGCCATCTCCTGCTTCCCGGGTGCCACTGCGGTGGTGATCCCTCGTTCCCGCTTTGCTCCAGCGACTTGGATGATCCGAAGACGGCAGCCTGGGCAGCTGCGGTGCTGGAACGCATGCTCAGGTGAAGACGACGAACGACCTGCTCGCTCTTAGGTCCGATGCGTACTTGCTGACGCCGGACTCCCGAAGCTCGACGGCGGATCTCGATTTCGACGGCGGATTTGATAGCCTTTCATTGCCTTTAGAGCCGAGGCATCGAGCTGGATCCCAAGAGGAGCGGCGTGCCTCCCAACGTGAAGCTGGAGACCTGGCGGATCTGGTGCTAGGCGCCCTTGAGGCGCTAGTGGTGGACTCTTGAGCTCATGTCTGCTGAGCTCAGGATGGCTCCTACAAGCAGCTCGGCATCCGCACTCTTGTGACATCTCTTGTCTGTGCTGTTCGAACAGCCACGGATTGCCGTCAGTAGCCGGTAGTGGGCTCCCTTTTGAACTTGGTTTGCCAACGTATCACGTTGACGCTCCAGCTGTTGAATGCGAAGTGTTGACGCGTCATCCAGCGCCTTCGTGGTCTGCTGTAGGTTTGTTGATGCCATGGATGCCATGATTCCCAGCGGACCACCATCTCTCATTGACTGCAAGAAGCTGGTCATTGAGGGTCCCGTTGTGTGCCTTGGGCATGGACAACTTTCGTGAGAAGTCGGCTACCGCGAGTATTCAATCACGAATGCCCAGTTTTCAGGTTCTCGCCCGGTGTCACGATCGTTGGAGAAGCTGTGAGCTCAGTCGGTCTATGGAACCACGGACCACGTCTTCAAGTCTAGTTCTAGAGGTGACGATCAAGAATGCCAGCGGCGAGAAGAAAGCGGTGGCGCCGGGCGTCTATACGGACACCACCCTGGTTCTATAAGCCAGAGCGGTGACGAGGCTGCGTAGATCGCGGAAAGTCCTTTAAGGTGCACAGATGTGGGCAAAGCATCAAGATGGTGCTGGAGCGCTAACAGCCGGACGTCGCGTCCCTGCCGAGCAGAGAGATCCCGCAGTCGATAAGATCCACTCTGCAGGTAACTGCAGGTCTCAAAAAAAATCAAAAAATCGACTGGATCTCTCCGTGGCATATGTTTTCCATACACTCTGGTTGTAAGCTCATGTGACACATGTGCGAGCAAAACAGCCTCAGTTTCCCAACTGGCGACCTGGAATGTCCAGGCATATTGAGTGGAAGGAGTTCCTTTCTGAAGTTATGATCCTTTGAGAGCATGCAGGCTAAGCTTGATGACTGACCCGCTAATGGTTCACTTAGTATCAATGAGCCTCAATGAGCAATTGCTCACTAGAGTGATTCACTGGCTATTGAAGTACTTCGTGCTTGGCAGATAGTGCATATGCTAATCACGAAGTAGTTTCCAGCAGTACTTGGGCGAGGAGTGAGCGAGTATCAAGCCAAATATGATGTTGCCGAGAGTTCACCACCAATTCAGGGTGAAACTGCTTAACAGTTTAACAGTCATGTCAAGTAGCTTGACGCATGACTGAATTATTCCCGTGAAGGATGAGATGAGCCCCACATGCCGGCTTCATATGCTGACGGAGGCCTCAACAATCTCAGGGATCTACCTTTTGTGCTGTGAATCGTTTACGGCACGTCATGCTCCCATCCACCTTCCTGTGCCGCGGCCCTGTTGCAACGACCAAAGCCAGGACTCGGCGGCTACTGAGGCTGCTCTCCGTCGAGGCGAGTGCAGTGCAGGGCCTCCGCTTGCTGCTCGCTTTGAAGCTCCGAAAGGCTCCTAGCTGTTATGGCCCTTTGGGACCTATGGGGTCTTTAGGGGTTTGTGGAGACGGCTGTTGTGCAGTCCGAGTCAGGCGTCAGGAATGGACGAGCATGGCCCATCTGGCCTCTTCAAGGCATGCATGAGCAGACACCGGGACAAGTTCCGTGCCGTGCACCTGACCCTGGCTCAAAGCTTGGAAGCTGACTCAGCTCTGGCAGCAACACTTCTCGCTCATATGAGCTCAGTGTGCAAAGCGGCGCTTGCCTATCACGTGATCTGATGGTAGGCACGGTATCTACGAGCATACCTTGGAAGAGCGGCACTGTTGCACAAGGGCCGGCCAGAGTGGCGGCTCCGTCCCAGAAACACTCCACTCAACACCAGCACGCACTTGGACCCGCCCCGGAGCTTCAACAAGAAAGCCCGCGGCCGATCGGAGCCGAGAAGCATATAGTAGAGCAGCAGAGCATGTTTCTCTTCGTGGCCCCGATGTAACAGAGTCCGGCGCCGAGACCTCTGAGCCCGCGACTGCCAGGTTGGAAAGAGCTTGCAAGAGGTGTGCACCAATTTTACACACATGTATGCAAGAAATCTAAAACACGATCACAGACCTACATACATGCATATGTATGTAAAAATCTATGTGTCGAAATATTCAGTGTTGAGTTTGTTCTAATGCCGATGGCCCATCTAGCGAGTTCACCGGGTGAGCATGCAGTTGGGCCCCCTTCTCGGATAATCACCTGATCACATCAGAGGCTCGGACTGAAACGTCGGGACAGGTCGCATGGACGATTGCCTGGTGCTTTTCTGCCAGATCCCACATTCCAGTCTTTGAGGCCATGACGCGTGGCGACCGTGGCGGGGTGCAGGGGGCCCGCTCTGGCGGCATGACCCACCACATTCAGGCCAGGGCGAAAGCCCAGCATGCTGAAGATCTAAAGAACATCCATGTGCAAGGCCGGAAGGAGAAAGGGCCTTTAGACCACTCTATTGGAAGCTTGCGGCTAGTGCAGCTGCTGCAGCTGCTGCAGCTGCCTATGCTCAACGGCAGGGCCCGCACCTCGTCCCCAACGTCGGGAGAGAGGCCATGCTCGTGGCCGAGGCGAGGCAAAGACAGAAATTGTTGGCTGCGCGCTTTCGCGATCGCTTTCGCCGCCCGCTTTAGGTCATCCGACGGAGGCCTCCCAAGGCGAAGGCGAAGTCCTCGAAGCCACAGGCCGGGCAGTGGAGCGCCTGGGAGTGGGGAGCGATGTGGACTGTGGCGGCGGCAACTGCGGGGAGGCTCCTTTGGTCCCTTCCGTCCCTTCTTCCGAGAGGAGGGGGGAAAAGGCCCAGGCCAAGCCGAGGGAGAAGAGGAAGCGCAAGGACTCCGAGCGCTCCTCTCAGAGCCGAAGCCCGGAGCCGATGAGTATTTATAAGCTTACAGGAGCTTCCCGTGTCACCGAGGCGAGCGCGATCCAGCTCTGTTCCGCCCCGCAAGTCACGTTCCAGAACGCAGGCCGACTGAGTTTGAAGAGCTGGAATCCCATGGAATCCGTGAGCTTTCACAGAAGAGTGACGAATTATGCGAGTTTGCGTTTGCCACCTGGCAGCTAGTCTGAGCTGAACCGCAGTTCTTAGGTGCGGCCGGAGCATGACAGCCCCGACGCAGACGGAGAGGAGGACGCCGTGCAAGATGAGGGGATTGTGCGCACGAGGGGCAGCCTGTCTTTGCCATAGCTCAAGAAGAGGACGAGGCTGCCGAGGAGGATGCGATTGAAGGAGCCCTGCCAGCGTTGGACGTGAACTCTGAGCACGAGGTCTGCTCGAGCCGCCACATCATTGCTTGTCTGCTCCGGTGCGGCCCATGGCAAGAAGATGTTTGCGTGTAGACTCTAAATTCCTGCGGGGCCCAGCGGCCCCTCGCAGCATCTCGCCGCCCTTGCCCTCGCAGGCTCGGAGGATTGAAGAGGAGAGGAGACAGTTGCAGCGCTTGAAGGAGGTTCAGGACGCGACGAAAAAAAGGGAGCTGCAGGCCGCTGCAGGCCGCCAACACTTCTTGGCCAGAGCCAGCCCAGGAGAAGAAGCGCAAGCAGGAGAGCGAGCGAAGGAGGAACTTGGGAGGAGTCTTCGCGTTGTCTGCAGACGACTTCGACAAGGCCCGCTCAGCTCACTCGATCTTGTGTCTCGGAAGCTTTGAGATCAATCCGCTGCCGAAGGAGGAGGACGAGCGAGCCAAGCGCGCGCAGGAGCAGAGAGGGAGAGAGAGAGAGAGAGGGACGGCCGGAGTCCGAAGTCTGCGACGCTGCGACCGCTTCTGCTTTTTCGCTTTTTGAGCCCTCCTTAAAAAAGGCGGCGCAGGAGGAGGCCCGGAGCGAGAAGCAGCGGAGCCCCCAGCGCCGCGGGAAGCACGGAGAGCCGCGAAGTGCGGAGTCGACTGCGACTGCGCGTCCGAGGCAGCTCCGTCATCCCACGTCACGGACGTCGGCTTCGCAGAGCCTTGGAGTGCAAAGGGAGAAAGAGAGAGAGAGAGAGAGAGAGAGAGAGAGAGCCACAGGTGTACGGGGTAAACCCTCCTGCACCATAGCCCTGGCGAAAGAAACGAGCGAAAGAAAGAGCCAGACGACCGATGCACTAGCGGAAACTGGGCGCGGCAAGGCGGAGAGATGAGAAAATGGTGCTCGACGACGGCTCTCCGGGAAGCTTCTCGGACCTGACTTCAGACATCACGCCCGAAAAATGGCTCGGCTGCCATCCTTTGTCCGCTGCTTGCTGTTTTGAGTGCCATGGTCAGGTGGCTTCGACAAATGCTGGAAGAACTGGGACTTCACGAAAGCGGAAGATCCGGCGGAAGTGCCTCGGCGTGCATATCTGGCTGCCAAAGAACAGGGAGGCTGTCGAGTACAGCTTGCAAGAGCGGTGTGAGAGAGTTGAGCCACATGATGTGTTGTGGTATGACCTGCGTTGTAGGCCCAGGTTTTTGGTTCCAGTTCCTCCCAAGTTCTGAAATTCCAGCTGGCCAGATGCCAGAGGCGAACTATAGCTAGGTCTGAGCACTGCTATGCCCTGCCGTGCGAGTCTACTTCGGGGCTTCTGGGATTCTCCAAGCCAGCCTTCGGCTTGATCATATGTCCCGCCGGACTCGAAGGGTTTACGAAAGCAGAATCGAAGTGCGCCGAAGCGATGCCCTGATGGGAGCTCAGGTGGCCCGGCAGTTCATGCGCGTCACTGCAGCCAAGCGGAGGGGCTACGGCGGCGCGGCCCGCGACGCCCGCGACGGCGGCACCCGAAACGAACGGCCGGAGCGCGAGAGACGCCGCAGCCGCAGTGGCAGCCGCGGCCGAAGCCGAAGCCGCCGCTGAGCTGGGGCCCCTGGGGGTCTGAGGTCCGCATGGCCTGTGCAAATCACATTCTCGACCTAGCCCTTCGGGGCAAATGCAAAAGGACGCAGCAAAGATGTGCCGTGCCGACTTGGGCCACGGCTCTGCCATATACCGATTTCCAGCGCAGAAAAGGTCGCTGAGGATGGCTTAATTGGGCGCCTTGAGACTCCTTGTGGGGTCAGTAGAGTTTCCAGTGCCGGCCTGGGCGACTGCTTTAATCTGATGGCAGGCAGATTCGTCCCACTGGCAGAGATGGTCGCGCGAGGGCCTGCCAGGACTGTCTTGTGCCAGGGTTGCATCCTTGCCGTTGGCTTGCCATTCGTGTGGTAGTGAAGTGGTCAAGTACTTCGCTGGGTGCAGGGAATCCGCCGGTGCCGTGCCACTTGTGCCTCAGACTTGGACAGACCAGTTCGGTGCTGTGAAGCATTGCAGGCGCCCAGTGCGCCCAGCGAAGCCGGGCCTCAGCGCGTCGGAAGCTTGGGCAAGGGAGCGGCTCGATATGCGAAGTGAGCACAGCAGCAGTGACCTTGTGGTTCAGATGTACCAGCTAGCTTTTGCTGCTTAAGATTCAGCTTGGGCTTTAAAGCCTGCAGCTGGTCCCCACCTCTCGCCATGACGCCCGGAAGAACGCCTCCTCGTGAAGACCACGACAACCTTCACCCGGAGTTGGAGGGGCCTGACAAGCACCACTTGCGGCAGCAAGGACGCGGCCTGAGTTGTGTTGGAGTTGGATTGCGAAGTAAAGGTCGGACTGGACTTGTACACTTGTGAGACAAAGCTGCCGGCAGGGTGGCCGCGCAAGATTGAAGCGCGCAATGATAATTGCTAAAATAGCTCCGTACAGCAGCCGGCCATTTCAAGTGGAGAGTTTGCCTATAAGTGAAGTGGAAACGACCTGGCCTGCTGCGCCCGCCGGCGGCTCTGGGCTGGGGGAGGAGGGGAAGCGGGGAAGGGGGGCATCCGCTCCTGACCGGAGCTTTAAAGCGCTGCAACCGAGCGCCGGTTGCAGGCTCTGGCCCTGTTCGTTGTCGGCCGCACTGCCGCCCGGGGAGGGCTGCGGCAGCGGATGGAGTGAGTTCTGCCACAGTGCTCGGTACATGCCCAGGAGCAGAGGCGCAAAAGGAAAGCGGCCTCTGAACATCTGGCCGAGCTTCAGCGGAAGCCGAAGCCCAGGAAGAAGAAGAGCTCCTCGTGAGATGCATCCGCTGGGGTAGATTCCCGCCACGGTTCGGGCCAAAGTGCCCGGGGCCGGCTTCGAGGCATCGCTGTTGTGTCGAGGCCCGAGCACGTTCCAGTTTCAGTCGGATGGCCTGTAAGGCCATACGGGGGCTGAGTGAGCGCTGTCCTCTGTTTCCTTGCAAGTGCAAGGGTGTTCGCACCCACAGGCAGCCAATCAATCACTCAATCATTCCTCGAGCACTTTCGCTGGCAAAGCACTCCATCCGGATTATTTTCGTCTGTGCCGTTGAATGTCGACCCCAAGTATGTGACGCGGAGGCAGGGAGGCCTTCTAAAGAAGTCATGAAGTGAGCTTGCTTGTTGTCCGTCGGTTCCTAAAGGACCTCAACGTCGGAATGGGGTCGATGCGTTGGCCAAAGCACCGCCATTGTGCTTCTCGGCGAGCCGGAAAAAAAGCCCTCAAGAAATGCTTACATCCCGAAGGCGTCAACTGCCCTCAGCCATAAATCTTTGCTCCCAAGGCCTGGATGCGCCTCCTGCGCCCGTCGCTGGGAAGCACGGAAGCTCCTTGGCGCTGGAGGTGTTGCCTGCGTACCAGTCCGCTGGGGGTCAGATTGCGTTGGGCACGGCACATCAATATACGACTTCATACTGCCAAATTTGCGAGCTAAAATTGTGATGTTTGTACATAGATACTGTTGTTAAGATACTATTGAATGTGTTTTAAATTTCTGCTTGCTGCGTGCGCGTACTATTTAGAAGCGGGGAGATCGTGCACAGCCCCAGTTGCATGGTTCTCGGATGTCGGACGTTGGCCATGAGGTCGAGTTCCACTACATCATGCAAGAGCATGCGGATTCAGGGCGATTCTAGGCGAAAAAGAGGACCATCTGCAACGAAGCACTTCTGCGGGGTGGAATGGTCCTGTGCTTTGCCGCCACCACATCTTTGTTGATAAGCGCAGCTGACAGCACAAGAACATAGTTGCATAATCTTGCATAGAATCGAAGGCTGTGTTAGGAGCAGAGTGACTTTTCCAACTCTGTGACTGGTGCACGACAGGTTCTTTCTGGAACCTTCAGACCAACTCAAGCTTCGGCTTAAGACTCGCAGCCCCGCCCTCGCCCCAAACAGCCTTAAACCCTGCAAAGCCTAGACTCAGACCCCTGACCCCATAATTCGGGAGAAGCCGCCCAGCGCCTTTGTTCCAAAGAGTCGGATGGTTGCCGCCCAGCGAAAGGGCCCGGGCCGCGCGCCGAGCGCCCCCGAGCAGAAGGCGGCCAAAGCGAAGCGAAGCGAAGCGGAGAAGATCAAATCCAATGTCTAAGCTATGCCGCTAGCCGTAACTGCGCGACATCGCCTCGCGATGTGGCGGGTTAGAGTCGCGACGGTCGTCAACGACCGTCGTCGAGTCGTCAGCCTCGTTGCCATACGATGATCATCGAGGGAAGAAGAGTAAGACGAGGTCAAGGCAGTGCGATAAGTGACTCAAGAGTGAGTGTGTGAGTCTTTCGACGTGGGGCGTGCGACGGAGTGAGCCATGGAGTGGAGATAACACGAGTAGTAGGTGAGACGTCGTGTGCAGCTTTTCAGTCAGAGAGCCAGAATCGACCCGTGGCATGTTGATCCGCCAAGCCAGTGCACCATCAGAGTCTGGGGAAATTCATGTATTCAATGGGGCAAATAGATTGCATTCATGAGTGCCACGCCGGTGGGTGTACAGAATATAGACACACACACAGACAGACACACAGATGAAAGACAGCCGTCGGTGTCCTTACCGGACCGTCAAGCAAACTGCTCTTTTGCATCAGTTCCTTCTGGACAGACATCTACTGCGCGCTCGTGTCGTCTGCTTCGCGACGGACGTGCAGGCGAATGGTGCGAAGCCAGCGCCGCAAGACGACGATTCTTTGTTGGCCCCACCGCCAGGCCTGCTATAGAGGCAGTAGAGGCAACCTTGAGCGCAGCTGTGCAGCCGCTGGAAGTTCCAGGCCGATGGACGGACACCTTCCTCATCCTTAAGGCTCCTAGCTGCAGAGCGGCCGTGCGGACTCTGCAGCTTCTCTCTTCTTGCAGGTGTGCCGATGGGCTGCAAGTCAAGGCTCTCTCGCCTGTATGGAAGTTTCAGCTCGAGACGTGATGTCTGCAGGGTTGGAGCTTTACGCCTCGAGTCCTGGCACGCGCCAGCTCCTTAGTGTCTCTAGTCTGCAAGAGCTCAGCCCAAGAAGGCCCAAGAGATTTCTCGATCGCAACATGTAGTGGGCTTGCAGGAAAGAAGAGGAGCGCCGGGGGCGACGAGGTGCCATTGAAAACTGCAGCAATGCAGTTCGTGTGAGCCCAAGGGAGGCATAGAGGCGGAGCGGCGAGGCGGCGAGAGGCGAGCGGCACCCTGTGATGTTCAGGTGGAAGCCCAGAAAGTGCCTGTGGGCTTAGTGGTGATTCTCGTCGTCTCCTGAGCCTTCGACCGGACCGGAGACCGGGAGACCGGACCGCTGCCTCCGAGTCTCTGCTCAGGTGATCACTTGCGTCAGCCCGCCGAAGGTTACTGGCAGATATCTTGCCGGTGAGATGAGCGGTTCCGCTTGGCCAGGCCATCATCATTGGCGGCGAGAACCTGGATAGGGGGCTTCCTGAAAGGCAAGTGGAAGCCGAGGAGACGGCTATGCAGGAAGACTCATTGTAGCACCCATCACTATCACTGGGGAGGAGTCTAGTCTAGTGCAAGGCGTGTCAGATTGGGGAAGGGAGCCTCCAAGCGCAACAGTTCTCGCGACGCTTTGCAGAGAGGACCACTACGGAGTGCTCGGGCCCCGCGGCAGAAAGAGCGGAGTGTGCATGTAGACCATGCCTCTTCAGGCTGGGAGTGGCGCGGGATGCCCAAACCGCGGACGTGAAGCGCGCCTACAAGACGATGGCGAAGCGCTGGCATCCGGACAAGAGCCTTGCAAGGGCACTTTTGCTTTCGCTGATCTTCAGCCTGCATCCCCAGAGTTGCGCTCGTCCTTCGGGGCATCCCAGGAATCCGAATTGCAGCTCCTGCCAGGAGAGGGCTCGTGACAAACAGGGCAGCCTCAAAGAGTGCATTTAAATATCAATCCCAAAAAACCCACTCGAAGTCCGAATGTCGGAAGGAGACCTTCTCAAGGATCGCTGTGGCCTACGAGACGCTGCCCGGGTGCCCGGCTGCAGGGTGGAAGCGCGGGCCAGGCAGCCAGGCAGAGATTCCGATCTGGACCTCGAGGTCCGACGAATCAAAGCGTGCTGCTTATGACGAAGCCGGCGGTGCAGCCAGCGCCTCTGAAGAGTGCCGCTTAAGAGTGCTCTGAAACTGCGTCTTATCAGGGCATGAGCGCGCCGCGCCGCCTCGAGGCGACCTCCGAATTGACCTCTGCGAAGAGCGTCCCTTTGAACAAAGGCAACTTCGACGAGCCCGGGCCCTATGTATGCTATTCTGCGCTGCGCTATGCTGCTCTTCTGCTCGCAGCTTCGATTCGCCGAGGCTGGTGACTTTCTCCAACGACGTTTGGATCGTGCAGGCCGGAGATTCCTCCTCCGAAGCTCAGCGGCTCGACTTTTGCCTTGCCCCTCCCGGCAGCGGAGGTTTTCCGACCAGATAATCCCCACTGCGCCGGCGGCCCAGGGACTCTGTCAACCGAAACCGTAACCTCTCTCTCTGCTTTCTGAGCGATGCTTGTTTTTTGAGGCGAGTTTTCACCCTTTCTGGGAGAATCAGATCCAGAAGTACCAGCACTTGGTCCGTTTCGGCCCTGCTCCGAGCGGGCTTTGGGCTGTTGCACGCTTAAAAGCCCCCTCCACTTAAGCGCACTTGTGCTGCGCTGAAGGGCGCATCGACGTGACCGACGACAAAACCCCCAAGTGGCTTCCTTTGAAGGTGCGCGTCGGGGCCCCGGCGGGGCCTCGGGGGCGCCTCGGCGCCTCGGCGCCTCTGCAGAAGGCGGATCCCTAACAACCCACAGCATGTATGTCGTATGCATCGAACCCCTCGGGCGGCTGAGGTGCTTCCGACTGTCCTGAAGTTTGGCAGGCACCTCCCCGGATCTGGATAGTAACGAATTTCTTAGAGCACTTGGCCATGTGAGGCATTTGGGAGCCGTGGAGATTTTCCCTGTAACGCAGATGCATGAGACTCCACAGGCAGGAGGGTCGAAGCTCCGGCGGCTCGGGCTCGCGAAGTAGCCGGAAACGGCGTTTCACCGTCCCGCAGGCGCTCACGAAGTTCGTGCTCACCTCCTTCCCGAACATCGGCTTGCCGCTCAGCTCGGACCGGGATCCAAGCCTCCCGCAAATCGGCCCGCGCAACGCGGCACATCGCGGCTCCCGGCTTCCTCCCCCTCGTTTGGGTCTGGAGGACCGCAATGCGCTGACATCCTGGCTGAGCAGATCAACTCGGCGACACAAGGCCCAGCCAACGGCTCTGTGACCCCTTGAACCACCGCCCGGTTGCACCGCCCGGTTGCAGGTGCTGTTTGCCATCCCGGGCAAGAGTGAGGAGGAGTCCACAATAGTCTATTGGCTACAAGTTGTCATGACCACAGCAGTGTCATGCCGGCCCCCGACACAGACCCTTTAAACATCTTCAAACCCTAAGCCCCTAAGCCGACTGGATTGCCTTGCTGTCAAGCCAACCTTAGTTGCGCTACGACGAAAGGCGCAGAGCTTTGGCTTTGGGATGTTTTGGGGCTTTGGCGGCTTTGGGCTGGAGCCGGCTGGGGCCGGAGGACACCTCCTTCCTTAGCCGCCTTAGCCTTCGCAGGAGAGGTACAAGAGTCACCTGGTCCCGCGGAAGCTCGCGGCCCAATGGCCGGGTACCCCAAAAAGTCCGCCAAGGTTGACGTAGAGGCTCCTAGAGGTGTTCGCTGGGTGGCGCTGCAGGGGGCTTTCATTGAGTTCGGGGGTTCGCGCGAGGGTTGAACTGGGGCGCCGAATCGCGTGTCTGCCGGGGATGGTTGAAGCGATGCACAGTTCGAGAATTCGTTCACTAGTCCTGGCAGTGGTTCCCGTGTGCCGGGAGATTGATCGCTTCTTCAGCGGTTGTGCGGACAACTGCCGGTATTCATGCCGGAGTCGGGGAAATAGAAAAACATATACTATGTCACATGTTTGTGAGCGCTGCGCTTTGCGGCGAGGAAGGACCAAAGCGAGCAGAGAGAAGCGAGCGGATGAGCGGCTTGCAGAGGTCCGAGGTGTTCGAGGTCCGGTCAGCTGAGACCGAGCTTCTGCACGCCCTGCCGGCTGCTCAAAGCAGAGCGCAAGATGAGGCAAAGACGTCATATGTTCGCCGCTCCCGAGGCCGTTGCCGGCCCAGGCTCGGCGGCTCGGGTTCAGACGCAGAGATGAGCCATGCCTGTTTGCAGTGCCTGCGGCCATGCCTGCACAGATGCCTCGCCTACAAAGGTGAAGGCGGCTTTGCCGTCGAAGGAAGATTCGGGCCAGCAGGCTGAGATTCGAAAGCTTCTGTGGGGTTATGTCAATGTGGAGTCGGAAAGGCCGCTGCTCTGCTCTTCCCCGCCCGAGGGGGCACTCAAGAGCCAAAGGCGGTAGCGGCTTTTTCCTGGCCGACAGGAGCGCCATGCGGGTGCCCCTGCATGTGCCTTAGCGGGTGCCCCTGCTGCCGCACCGCTGGCTCCGCGTTTTCGAGGAGAGGAGGAGATGGTGTTGGAGCTGATGCGCTTCACGGAGATGGTCGGGGTCTCCCTCAGCGTGCAGAGTCGCTGTCTTAATTGTGTGTTCACTGCTTTGCGGTGTTGCTCAGCAGCAAATATTGGGTGTGGAAGCAGCAGCTATTTTTTCGGTGTTCATGCCCCTCAGAGCAAACCGCGACAGAATTGCAGTCCAGACCGTGCGAGGTGCAGAGCTGCTTTGCCGCTCATTGGCGATGCGGAGGGTTCCCTCCTCGGACGGGCTACATCGTTGAAGTGATAATTGAGATCTATGTAGCTTGCGACCTTTGTGCTTGCTGTGTCAGATTATGACTATGTCAGACTGCGCACACGCAATGCTTGGAGTGCACACGCCGATCTGCAAGATGGAGCCATTGCGGCTGTACTAAGAACCTGGGTGCTGTGGTCGCCTTCCTTGTGCAGGTCTACTGCCTCGTGCTGCTGGATTCCCCCACCGCAGCTTTGGCGCGAGCGGCCAGCGGCTCAGATGGCTCAGCAGCTCAGCGGCTCGCAGCTCTGTTCGCTCCGAGCTCTGAGGCCCGCGACCTGCAAGAGTCCCGTGCCATGTGCGCCGCATATCGCGACTGCCCACAATTTGCCGCGGACCGCGGAAGGCTCTGCTCTGCGCAGGTATCAGGGCGAGGTGGCACAGATTCGAGAAAGCGGTGGCGAGGTCGCCGAAGATGAGGTTCGAAAGCAAAAGCCAAGGGAGATGCCGCATACCGTCAGTGATTCCCATCCTTTTGCAGATCGATTACAGGACAATTTCGTGATTCCAATCCTCCGGCTGCTGCGGCACTCCTCGTCGGGGCCTGAGAATGAGCTGCTGTTTTTTTTTTTTGGGGGGGGGGGGGGGGATCTCGTTGGGGCTTGCCTCCAAGGGGCCTGGAACCTTCGGTCGCATCCTGTGACTCGGATGGATCCTACATACGCCTAGCCGCTAGAGGGTAGCATTTGCTCTGAGCCCTGGCGCAGAGGCTTCGCTCCGAAGTTTCCGCAGGCCGCGAGCGCGAGCGTCGCCTTCTCTGCAGACGGCATACCCGCCCGGCCTGAGAGGTGGAGCGAGCCCTCGCTGGTTCCTCGGCCTTCCTCATGGACGGCGGCTCTTTCTTTCTTTGCAGGCTTTCAGGCCTTGCCGGTGAGAGAGGGGCCCCTTTGCGGCAGGACTTAGACACCCATCGCCTGGCGCCACTCCGGCTCAGCCTCTCCTCCTTCAAGGGCCTCTACCCGCAGGTCGCCGGGAGCCTCGGGACAGCCTCACAGAACTTGAGTCCCGATATGTTGAGCTGGACGACAAGACGACGAAGACGGTGAGGACTTTGTGACTGCCAAAGCTGTCGCTGACCACTTTAAGGCCTATGAGGATAGCCTGAACTGGGTGGATGCTTTGGAGATCCGCTCCTTGCCAGACTGCAGCGAGGCAACGGAAACAAGCACGCCGCTCTTTGCTTTCCGGGTTGTGCCAGGGTATGCGGCAGCGCTTCGTTAGGCCCGCGGCGCCCGGCGTCCGTGTGTTTCCTGGTCCTGGTGTCCTGCTTTTTGACTGAGACAGAAGTCCCTTCACTGAAACAGGCAGCTGTCGCAGTCCTCGTTCACGGAGCTGGTCTGGCAGCTGATGCCGGCGCCCCGGCACACGGGGATCTGGGTCCAGAGCTATGTCGAATCTGCCAGGTTCGCGCTCTTTCTGATGGAAGTGATCGCGAAAGCCCTGGCAAGCGGGTCAGTCTTGTGGTGGCTAGGCGGGGCATCTGCTTTTCTGCAGTCTCTCAAGTCACCATGCTGCCTGCTTATCTGGCTCTCCAACACACGAAAACGACAAATCGGGGGGGGGATTTCCTGTAGCAGCCCTCGTCCCGATCACGTAGGTCGTCACAGTGGATGCCACAAAAGACCAAGAGAACCAGTAGGGACTGAACACTAAGGCAACTGCTACGTACTCGTATCTGTTGGTAGTAGCCTCATCGCAGTCTCATCCCTTGCCATCAGATGGCTCCCGCTTGCTCGTGTCGCCAGGTGCATCTGGCATGGTGCTTGCCACGCTATCCAGGCTGTTGCGTGTGACAGTCTAGAAGGTTGTGCTACGAAGACTCTTTATGGGTTGTCTTTGTTGGTATGACGGTGCGAACATGAGGACGACGATGTCGATCCTTCTACACAGGGCTGAACTGTCCCCGACCTTTGCAGGTCTCCGCCTTTCCTGCGTTTGCCAGAGTCTGAGTCGGGCTGCGTGCTTCTCGGTCTGCCGCATCCGCATTGGCCCCTTCTGAGGCTCATGAGCTACGTGCCGGAGTTTTTTTTGACCCCTCAGCTCATGGAGGGCTGATGGATGGAAAAGAGCGGAGCGCTCTTGGCGAGAGACATGGGGGTGGGCACAGTGGGGGCACCTCTACCGCTGACGCGAAGCAGTGGGTCTTTTTCTGCGTTGTTCTTGATGGGCGCCTTGGTGGCCCAAGCTTGCAGTTTTGTTTCGACGCGTGTGTGGGCGGAGTGCCATTTCGGCAATGGATCCGGAGGCTTGGCTGGGGCGGTGTGGCGGTCGGGTGTAAAGTTCCACAACCATATCCCTCGCAAAAGGTTGCACTTCTCTCCTCTGTGGCATCAGAGTCAGTGGTCAGGTGAAGAAGAAGTTGCAAGTGAAAGCAGCCGTGGCCTATGGGCGTGCAGCGCAGGCCAGGGCCACCTCAGGGCAGTGACGCTGTGGCAGTTTTGAGCATGCATGCATTGCTGCGCCCGTGCATTGAGGCCTGGCATTCCTGGGGACATGCCTGGAGCTCTGAGAAGAACTTAACGCTCCCGGGAGCACTCTCGACATCTGTTTGTTGCACGGATGCTGCGCTGCAACTGCTCAGGCCGTCTTTCACTACAGCATGGTCCCTGGTATCTTTGCCTACGGACTCTGGTGCACACCCATTCCATGCCCAGCAGCTTCTGCCGAGAACCTGCAACAAAGCTCCATTGCAGGTACTCAGGCGAGTTCACCCTCGATCCTATGACACTATTCGCTCCGTCCTTTGAGAGCTTTTGCCCGCGGACGGGGCTTGCTTGAACGCAACACTGCCGGACTCAGTTCAAAATAATCCTCGACTCCTAAACGTGGACATCCTCGATGCGCAGACGTGCAATGCAGAGGCCTGCAAGCAAGGCTGCTATTTTTCATCTGTGGCGACCTTTGAGCACCGCAATGGAGGTCCAAGCCTCCAAGCCACCTGCGGTGACTTCGTGAGGGCGTAACCTGAGACCCCAAAGTACAGAAGACCCCATTCGGCTCTCTTGGGCTCTTGGGTCTGTGAGTGCCCCGCAGAACGGGGAAGTCTTCAAGACGGCCTGGAGCTTCGGCCGCGGTCTTGCAAAAGAAGCCCGTCTGCTTTCTCTGCCGTGAAGCCGTGAGAAGAGAGAATCCTGCGAGAAGGCAGCCGCCTAGGCCTCTCAGTGGCATTCCTTGTGCATTGCGTGTGCTCTCTCAAGTTGGAGTCGCCCGCCAGCCGTTTCCCAGCCTCGGCGAAGGCTGCGGCAGGTTGTAGGGTGGGGGCGTTTGTCGCTATACTTGTAGTGTTTTTTTACGAGTTTTCTGTAAAAAACGCATCATCGAATTTCATCGAATCATCGAAGTTCATAGAGCGGCATCGATTTCGGAGTTTTCCTGCCCGGAGCTCTCCTGGCAGTTTGTTTCGATTTGACGGCTCTCGCTCTTGACGGAAAGATGTATCTGGGCTCCGGGCATTGACAAGCATTGATTTGGGTGAACGAGTGACTCGGGTGCTTCACCTTGCCATCAGGGAGAAAAAGGCGCCGGTTACGACAACCCCGCAGCCGCGCTTGTCATCACCACCGACACCCAAAACACAAACAGGACAGAGCATTGCGAGCAGGCAGTAGCAGTAGCAGTAGCAGCCAGGGGAGGGACAGCGACGCAACAGCAACATAACCGAAGCAGCATCTGTGCGGAAGGATTGCTCGACCAAAGCTGAGCAAGGAAGTGAAATTCACGAGCCACATATGACCTGGGCTCCCAAGCAGCGATTTCTGAGATGGGCGATGCGGCGAATGGTGAGCATGAAGGGAGAAAGTCTGATCTGGGAGCTTGAAGGGGATCTGATGGCCGCGGACAGCAGAGACAAGGTAGAGATTGGAGATCCCAGACTCAAACTCAGACCGAAAGCTGAGGGGGTTTGGGGGCAAGCCTGTACGGCCAATTCAAGTGCCGCATACATGCACAAACACATAGAAGCACACAGGAAAGCCGTGCAGCGCCTGGTGCGATAAACCAGTCCAAAATCGTTCTATTGTTCCCGGTGCTGTGTCACGAACCAGTCCTTCAGGGAGTTTCGTTGACACTAGCATGTCGAGCAGCTGTGTAAAATGCTGCGAGGACCCAGGCTGCCGTGCGGCTGAGGAATAGTTTTTGCATGCAGCAGGCTGTCACCCAACATCCCAAGAGCAGTGCTCCGGCAGCACGTCTGTCATGTCGACTCGAGCAAACAGTCCATTTGTGGAATGGGGTAGGCACTGCATCAAGACTGACAGACTGACTTGAAGCACAGATGACTCAAGGACGTTCGACGCAACACATCTAATCTCCAGCAGTCAGTAGCCACATTGAAAGCAAAAGCCGGAGCCCTGGCGTGACTTAGTCCAAGTCCTGATCAACCTCAGGACCTCCAATCCTAAGCCCAAGCCCGCTCTTTGGAGACCGCGTGCTGTCGCTGATGTGGATCCTCCCCCTTTGCCATGCCGGCAAAGAGCGAGCCGAAAGACATGCCAAAGGCAGCCTCTGAATGCTGCAGCTCGTAGGGTTTCGTGGCCTCATTTTCAGACAGGCGGATCCTCAAGTGGACGCCAAGAGACAGGCCGGATGATCCTTGAAAGAAAAGGGCCGGCAAGAGCGAGAGCGCAGGCTTCGACCTCCTCCCGGCCCGGCGAGGCCCGGTACTGCCGCCACGGTAGCCCCGGAGCTTCTTGGTACTCGTATACGGGCACCATCACTTCCGCTACTCCGCTACTCCTCGCGTTGTGGCTCCTACTCGTACTACCGTCGTCTTCGGTGGGCACGGCAGCACGGCAGCACGGCAGTGGCTGTTGTCACAGGCAGAAGTTCCAATGAGCAACTACGCCTTCTTCGTCAAGTGCGCAGGGTTTGGCAGGGCTTCCACTCCTGTCTGGGGTTCGCGTCGCGGTTCTCGTCTTGAGGTACACGTACTCAAACGAGTGCGCTCTGCTTGCCTACAACTTTCATGAGCTCGTCTCAAAGATCGGGATCTTTGAGATCTTCGCATACAGGCCGCTACGGCATGCTGTTGAGCGCCGAACCCCCGCTTTTGTCTCCTTGCAGGCACGACCATCGCCTCATCAGCGTCACGCTCGCGTATATCCTATACCGCTACCAGGCAGCCAGACCTCACCGCGGTCATCGCTCCCCAGTGAGCGCACATGCTGGGAGAACGGCAACGATCACAGACGCTGCAGCAGGTGCACCACTGCGACATGGCCTTGGATTTGGCGTTAACGCTGGTGTACCTCGAGGCCGCTACTTCAAAGCAGTCCGTTCGCAGGAGTTTTGACGGTGCTGCCGTGGCTTCCCTGAGGATCTCAGCTGCCAGGTGGAGGCCAAGCCGGAGCTGCGTGAGCCAGGGGCTGAAGGAGGGCTCAAGAGGCTGAGGGGGGGGGGCGAAGGGCGAAGGGACAGGCTGACAGGCTGCGTGAGACTCTCCGGGCACTGAGGCGATGCCGAGATGCGTTCAATCTGATCTGCCCCTCGGACTCGAACTCTCGGACAGCCTAAGCGAAGTGACCCCGAAAAGCAGCCTGCTGCAGCCTGCTTCTTCTCCTTGTTGCCTTCGTGGATTCGTGGGCTTGGAGGTTACATGGCGTTTCTTGCGCACGCCTTCAACTCGGACCGACCGATACGACTCGCCGACTGGCCGCAGCCTCGGCACTGCACGTTCCAAGGGGTACGCAAGCATCACAACAGCAAAAGTCAGCCTGAGTGCAAGCCTAGCCTGCGATGATGACAACGAGGATGCCGAGGATGATAATGACGACGATGATCTTCTCTTGTATCCTCTTCCTTTTTCGTTGTCCTGGCTTGGCAGACGCAGGCACACAGTTGAGACAATTTTCACGTTGCCTGCCCGTTTCAGTTTTTGCTTCTTTTGTCATGACTTTCGAGACAGAGCGACGTTAAGGACCCAACGAGCGGTGCAGTCTGACCTCAACTGTCTCGAGACTCTGCCGAAGAGGGAGAGAGGCAGCAAACAGCGGAAGTCAGAACTGCAATGCGAGTGACATAACATGAAAATGCCAACATGAGATCTTGCATCTGAGTTGAAAGCTCAGAAGCTGACACTGAATGCTGCTGTGTTTGTCAGCAGGATATTCAGGCAACACAAGGTCCAGCAAAGCCGTCCCTCGGCACAGGGAGGCAAAAAAAGGGAGCTCCCGCAACTCAAGGGCAGTGGCCCCGGCACCGCAGGGTGCGGCAAAGGAGGGGTCGAAAGGTTCAAGACAGGAGAGGGACATCACGCGTGGGTGTTCGCGCTGCAACGGCCCGCCCAGGCCTGCCTGCCTGCGTCCGCTTGCTGCGATGGCTCCGAACAAAAATTTGGTTTGGCTGAACGGAGCTATGAAGCTCAGCTTTTTTCTGCTTTGCGGAGTGTGGAGTAGCCACGCCCGGCTCCTTTCCGAAACTCTAACTCCCGTGTGAAGCCGTCGTACTTTGGCCGATAACGACAGAGTCTAAGACTCTTACCCCTTACAAGTCTTTTAAGCTGTTGCAGCAGCGCTGGCTCGTGACTTACGACGTTTGCAAGCGGAATCTGCAGGTTCAAAGAGATCGGCTGGCGATCCTTCAAGAACTGCCCGGACCCGAAGCTGACCAAAAGATTGCAACTTGTTTGGGTTGCACTGCAGGTCACCAACTGAATGCCTACGTCTTCTTCCTCTTTTCCCAAGTGCCTCCCCCAGCGCGACCGGCGAACGGCCGGACGTCTTCGCAGGCCTTAGTTCTGTGCAGCCAAGGTCCGGGGATTCAAGCTTCGGGTGAACGAAAGCCAGGTGAAGAGGCGAACTGCAGAGTGCAAGGGACTCCATCTTGCTGCTGTCATGTCGAGTCGCGTCGAGGTACATCCAAAAGCTCTGCAGTGTACCAAGTCAAGCAGCTCAGACGGCCTCCTAACGAGCGGGCGCCAAGCGGACCCTGAGCCAGCGCCTGTCGATAGTGCGGCGTGACAAAAACACGGAGCGGAGAGGGGCGGAGAGGGGAGCTCGGAGCGTGGCTGGGAAAGAGAGCGCGGCTTGCCACGAGCCCTTGGCCATGGAAGAGCATGTCGAGTCTGGCCGCAAATTGCCGCGTTTGCAGAGTTTGCAGAGGCAGTGCGCACCCTTAAGGGGTCGTGCCTGCTTGGGGGAAGGGCGGCCGGGGGGGGGCGGGGCAGCCGCTTGGAGCCCCATGGTTAAACCATGGTAACCATGGCTACAAGAGCCTTGGATTGCAAGCTGGTCTGGTTGGGAGGGAAGGGAAGCGGGCGGAAGCTGGGAAGCTGGGTGCAGCGTGACGCACTGGTGCAGTGGTTGCAGTGCAGTTGCGGTGTGTTCCCTTCTTTTGAGTGCTTGCGAAGGCGAAGAGAAGGAGAGGGAGAAGGAGCAGCTGGAGCCGCACGGAGCAGCTGAAGCCCGGGGCCGACCGGAGGCGGAGCGGATTCGGTCTGCGCGTCTCTTCGCAAGCGACGTCGGACGTCGGACCGGGACCGCCGTCTGGTGGTCGTCGTAAGCGCGGTGCGGTCGTGTCGTGCGGTCGCGGCGTCGGGTGTGCGGTCGTTTCTTTCCAGGCGGGGTTCAAGGGCGCCAACGGCATATTCATCGACTACATGTCCCGCAACGCTCGAAGCAAACACCCAATGTCGGAGTCCAAGCCGGTTCCTGGCTCTAAACCCTAAACTCAAAGCTTAGCTGACTTTGCGGCTTTTGCTCCTTCCTTCAGGATGCGATGGCTCCTGGCAGACCAGACGTCCAGGCGGGGCGGGGCAAGGCTTGGGAGTGCTCCTCGTCGAGTCTCTGCGCAGGCAGAAGATCGCCCAGCAGGTCTCCAAGGGCGAGGCCGTCAGGGAAAAAACTTTTCACGGACTCGGCTCAGCGCTCGAAGTGCGGTCATGAAGGTCGGCAAGAAGACGCTCCGGAGCTACAAGGCCGCTCGGCGGGGGTGCCCGTCAGGAACGTCTCCGGCAGGGTTTCAAAGGCCCAGCGGCCCAGCGGCCCAGCCGTCCGCAGTCTCGGCTCGAGCCTGGGGCACGGGCACGAGAAGACGCGAGCGGCGCAGGCGACGCAGCCCTTCCCTTTTCTTCCCATTTTTGACTTCCTCTGTGCGCAGCTTGGCTGTCAAAGGAGCATGGCCGGCTCCGGGAAGCATGGCAGCGTCTACTTCGGAGGCTTGTCCCGCTGCGGCCTCGGCCTTGAAACGGATCCTGCTCTCGTTTGCAACGCGCGGATCGAGGTGGAGACACCCCACCGAAGGAGATCCCCACGCTGGGGGCCGCCGGCGGACGGCCCCGGGTCTCGGAGATGACCGAGAAGGAACAGAGCGGAGCAGAGCGGCACAGAGCCGCGTAGCTTCGAAGCTGCGCCATGCCGCGCCGCTGCTCCAGGAGCGGCTGAAGGACTGTCCCTATGCCCGTTGGGGGCTTGGACGGCTTGGACGGGTGCAGTGACCTCCTGGTTTGCTCACGCGTCGCCTTCCGCACGTCCCTGAGGGGACGAGAACGCCAGAGTGCTCGCCAGGCATGAGTGCATGAGCCGCGCTCCTTGGCTGCGCTTCGCGATGCTTCGCGATTGCAGCTGGCGCCTTGACTCCGAGACACTTCTGGAGGATGTGATCAAGAAGTCGGACGTGCCACCAGGACAGCTGGGAGTACCGTTGCGAAAGCAGAGAGAAGAGCCCCTGGAAGGCCCGGTGATGTTCAACAAAGACTACGACCGGTGTTTGGTCACGGAAGTCTTGAGCTCAGTCCTGCGAGGTGCAGCCGAGGTGCAGCGTCTCAACTTCCCCGAATCCGCAGGATCTGGAGCGTGCTCAGCCCGTGTTGTCGCATCCAACGAGCCACACGGGCCGCTCAGAAGCAGCGGAGCATAGCGGAGCCCCGTGCCCTGGCCCTCCTCCGATCCCTGTGTGCTGGCCCTGGCGGCGGCTCGCCCTCTGCCTCGCCGACTCGCGAGGCATGCCCATCCCCTGGAAGTGGGTGCAAAAGCCCGAGCTGGAGCCGATCCCCAGGAGCAGCCGCTCGGCCGCCGCCCTTTGAAAGGGTCTGCGTGCAAGTGCAAGAAGTCCACCGAAAATTCCTAAAGCCGAAGCCCAACAAATGAGCTTATTATAGACTTGTAGAGCTTAGAGATTTCTTTCCTGAGGTCCCAAGGCGGTTTACCCTCCGCTCCGACGCCGAGTGCAGGACAGCCCGGACGTTGGCAAACGGAGTGCTGCTCCTTTTCTCCTCCTCAGTCTGTTCTGTCTCCTCAGCTCAGCTCAGCACAGCTGTTCTATAGGACTTGTCGCTGCGCACCTCCGACATCGACTATGCGCAGCCCAAGAAGCCGCCACTGGGCTGCAAGCCCCCCCGGGCCAGGGCGGCCAGGGAGCTTTGCGAGCTGGTGGAAGCCTTCTTCCTCAACTTTGGGCGGTTCCGTCAACCAAGATTCTTTCAACCGCGCTTCCTTCTACCCTGTTCGCCGCTTCCCTCAACCCAGATAGTGCCGATTCAGTCAACCCCCATCGCCCGCTTCCATCAACGCAGACTGTGCTGATTCAGTCAACTCCGCCCCCCGGCTTCCATCAACACTACACTGTTGTCAACGCATCTCGGCCGCTTGTTTGCTAGTCTCACATTGAATAAAGCAGCCCTTACCCTTACAGAATGACCGGCGCCCTGAACCAAGCATGCATTACAAGAATCCGCGTGTCCGTAGTTGAGCGAGTCTTTGTGTATGGGTTGAACGAAGCAGTTGTTTGGGTTGAAGGAATCACTTCCTGGGCCATGGTTGGGTGAATCTGCCTGCCGGGGTTGAAGGAACCAGGTTTTGGGGTGGAATGCATGACCTTTGCGAGCACTGCACGCATCCAAAGAAGCGCTTTGGCTCCCCTTCCAGGACGATCCGCCCCAGGAAGCGGTCCACTTGCATTGTGGATCTGCTCACGACAAGCTATCAGCCACCCGTCCAAGCTTTTGCAAAAAAACCGAAGGCTCTCTCTCTCTCTCTCTCTGCCCTGTGGCGGATGGCGTCTGCCAGGTTTGCCTCCTCCGAGGTGCCCCCGCAGCCTCCCTACAGGCCCGCCGCACGGTGCGGACGCGGACGCAGCCGCCGTGCCGTGCCGTGCCGTGCGTGCATCCGCTCAATGCAGCGCTCGGAGCGTCTCCTCCAAACAGCTCTCTTCGGCAGAGGTCTTCGGGCCGCTGCCCGACGGAGGTGAGCGACATCGACGGCTGCTCCGTGCGACCTCTGGTCCCCGCACCTCAGCCGACAGATACACAGAGGGGGCTCGAGTCGTGGCGCGGTCGTCCGTAGTCGTAGTGACAGATCTGTCCTCTGCAATGGGTTTCCTTTCGCCCTCAAGCCGAGTCGAGGTCCGGCGGCACTATCGCAACTTGGTTTCAGCAAGCGGGCATGCTACCAGTAGCTTCGACCGACATCATGTAGTTCTGTAATGTTATGTGGTTGTCGTCGAGTGAAATGGTTGAGAGCCCGGCTTAAACTGCTCAGGTGATACCATGAGGGTTGAAGACGAATTCCGCAGCCGACACAAGGCCGCGGGAAGAGCTGGGACCTAGGCGAGCGCAGCGGCGCAGCTCGTTCCTACTCTGTCCAGCTTCGGCGACCTCCGCCTCAGCAGACGTGATGTGCCAGTGTGCCCGTGTGCCAGTCTCAGGGCTCTTCTTGCCGAAGGCTACTAAGAACTCGCCGTTTGGGCTGTTCTCGCTTCAGGCCCGTGACCACCTTTCCGAGTCTGAGAGCAGACGCTATGCGTCTCCACTTTTCGACTGCCGGATCTCCCGAAGTGAGACGCTGCAGGAAGGCAGGTTTTCAATGGGAGTCCTTCGCTTTGATGTTGTTTCGAGTCGAGACTCTTCCAAGATGGGAGATGCTGAGATGCTCAGTCTGCGCACGCGGAAAACCGGACGGCGGCGCGGAAGTCCCGCCGTGGAAACGGTCCGGTCCGCCCTAGCTAGCAGGCCTAGCAGCCTAGCAGCACTCGGAACGAGCTATGTCACCGAAACGAACCACGAACTACGAAGCGCACCCCAACTGCTCATCGCGAGAAGTGAGACGTCCATCCGCCTCCTCGCAGGATGCCAGGGATCTGGTGAACTTTGAGAGGCCGCTCGGCCGATTCGACTGAGGGCTTCCGCCATCTTTCGCCTGACCTTTGGAGGCTCGAGTGGAATCTCATGGACTTGCTGACGAAGTTCTGGAAGTCCAAGAAGCATCCTCTCTGGGTGGGGGCCGACGGCCGAACGGGTTTGGCACAGCGCTGCAGCTTTTCAACCTCTGCAGCGATGGGAGGTGACTCCGAGAGATGCTCTGCAGCAGATCGTGCGACGCACCCCGTCCGAGCGGGAGCTTCTGCGAAGCCCAAGGAACTTATATATATATATATATATATATATATGTACATATATATATATACATATATATATATATATATATAGATTATATATATATATATATAGATTATATATATATATATATATCTTTGCTTTGTTCTTTATCAGCTTCGGCATTGCAGGTGTGATGTGCTGGTCTTATGCTTATGCTAATATACTATACTTGTAGCTGACCAAGTAAATAGTCAACATTCAGAGACTGGTGTTGGCTTCAAATCGAGGAGGTCGAATCAGAGTTTGCCCAGGCATCTACATGCAGCACAGCATGGAGCTGCCAGCTCAGCTTTCTCTGCGATTCCCCACTCGTGCGCCGTCGCGTAGCTTCGTAGGCCCCAGGTTTACATCAGCAAGCCGTGCAAACTAACATCGTAATCGAACTAAGTTCCAGAACGGTGTCTTGAACGACACCGGCTTGTGGGCTGGAAGCCAATCCCTCCTTGTCCTCTTACTACTGCGACCACGGCTGCTACGACGACTTGTCCTATTGCTATTACTACTACCCTTTTTCCGCACGGCGGGCACACTGCGCACTCACAGCCGCAGCGACTTCCGACCTCACCTGCGATGACGCGGATTGCGGCCCGCCTCGCGCTAGTTGAGCGGCTTCGAGCGCTGCCGTGGTGGTCAACTCATTGAGCGAACGCATCAAAACCAGCGTCAGTCCACCAAAAAATGTTGTGTTCTCGAGTTTGGTCTGGGCTGGCGATACAAGGAGGGATGTTCATTCCAAACAATATCCAGCAAATCACTATACAGATCATTCAACACTTCTCTGCACTCAGCTCGGGTGGCCAGTGGGGCCATGGCCAATTCATCAGATGCACGAGCGGCCCATGCTTCAATATTCTCACGTTGCGATCCCTGACATGACGTGCCCGAGTGCCTTGACTGCGGGAAGTTGCAGAGCACGACTTGGCGAGCGCAATGGTGATGGCGACATGGTCACTTTCCAGCATGGGGCAACACCAATCGCGGTTGGAACATGAACAATGGTAATGATTATGAACCTCAACATTCTGCACTAACCCTGGTCGTGCGGTAACCAAATCGAGTGCCGCTCCGCGCACGTGTGTCGGAGCATGAGGTGTGCAAGGGAGAGGAACAATCGAACCCCAATCCTCGTCCCGGCAAGGCACCGACCTACTAACAGTTGGAGTTCGGAGACAGCACGCACCGCATCATGATTGCAATTGCTGGAAGCTCCAGAAGAACAACCATATGCCTGGGCAAATGTCCGGCATCATTGTGCAAGCACAAACGGTCGAACTAAGGGATGGCAGAAGACATCAGAAGACTCACTTGAAACAGCTTCAGGGAGCAACAAACCTGCTGTACTGCCGCGTGTAACAAAATAGGACAATAGACAAAAGAGTTGGTGGCATCATGATTCTGCAGGGGCGGCCTCGCGGAAAAGAAGGTGTTACTGCGCGGCCACTCACATGCCGAGATCAAAGTCGGAACATTTGCAGAAACAGGTGCAGTTTCAATCGGGTCTTTTGCAGAGGAACAGTGTTTGATACAGCAGCACAGGCATCGATGGAGAGCGTGCACCCAGGGAGACAGACCCAAGTACTCGAGCCAAATGCAAGGTCAAATACTAAAGTGCGGGCGCCATCTCAGGGGCACACAGGGCCGGACACGTCCGTGTCAGTTTCAGCATGCCGCAAACCCCCATTCCCCTTGCCAGCCTGATTGCACTCGAACTCCTTGCGGATTGATATGGAAGGTGCGTAATGGAGACCACTCCATTTCACGGGCGTGCATGGTGCCTCCACCCACGGACGCGCAGCACAGAACGAGGACACGTTCAGGTCTGGGTGGCATCCCTGCAAAAAGGTCATTTTCGCCCCGACCGGGCAAATCTTCCCGCGAATTTACTATTTGCAAGTTTACTTCCTGACACGCATATAGAAGGGCAATGCTTGCGGAATCTCTAGGCCACGGGTCCCTGCAGTGCATACACGCGGGCGAAGGGCAACGCATACGCCTTTGCAGCATACACGACCGGTGTATGGCACGTACAAGGGAAACGCCATACTGTGTTATCTCGGAGGTGACCGTCTCGGGGAGGCATTGCCCGTTGACACAACGCACACACTTGGCACGCAACTTCATGTGAAGCAACGGTGATAGGGGATGCCCGCTTCATCGGGGGCAGTGCTTCCAGGACTCAACTCCGTCGGAGCCACACGTCTGTTAACGGTGATGGTGGGGTCATGCCGCGGGATGCACTGCATGCTGCGCCGAGTCGGCGTGGCACTGCGGCGCGTGCGATGCACAGGAGGCGTATGTGACATGCTTCGGCGCATATCTATGCAATTTTCGGATGCGTGGTAACAACCACATCAAAGCAAGCACATTCCCGTATTTATTCTCCCGCAACGGGTGCGGAACAAGCGCAGAGGCCCATGCAGAGCAAACAAATACAGTGTTGTATAGTTTTCAATGTCACTGTTTGACGATTCTGTTGCAAGTTGCCTGTGCATATCTGCCAGTCTGGATACCTTGAGCCAAAATGGCTTGAGCCACAGCAGCCGCTGTACATAACATAATGGAATAGAAGCAAAATCACACAGCAAGCGTTGTAAACAGGATAGGGGCAGTGACAAGCAGCGACCGTTGTACATAAGAATAGAAGCATGACCACACAGCATGCGCTGTAAACAAGATAGGGGCAACGGCACAAAGCAAATGCCGTAAACCTACACAGCAACCGCTGTACTTAAGGTAGAAGCAACAGCACACGGCAGGCGTTTTTTTGTAAACATGATAGGGGCAATGCTACACAGCAGCCGCCGTACGTAAAACAACAGAAAAGGGGCAATGCGACAGCAACCGCTGTACACAAGATGGCAACAAAACCAGGTGCTAGGGGCAGTGCCACACAGCAACCGCTGGAAACAGGAAGCGGGCAATGCCTCACAGCCAACGCTGTACATAATAGAAGCAAACCCAGACAGCAACCGTTGTAAATAAGATTGGACTTGGTATTATTTTTTGTGCTGAAGGTTTTGCTTTTTATTTCTGTGCACCTTCCCGTCTCCATTGACCTCCATGTGTCCATCCCATCGTCGATAGGTTTTGTTCTTATGCGCATGGAGTCTCCTTTTATGCTTGAGTTTTCTCCTTGTTTATGCTGCTGGTTTCTATTTGTATGCCAATCTGACCATTTTTTATGCGGCCCCCTTTCTTTGTTATGCTTGATGGGCTGGCTGGGAGGGTGGGGAGGCCTGGGCCCCATTGCCTCTTTCCATTTTATGCTTGAGCTGGTGTCAGTTTTATGCCAATCTGACTTTTTTAATGCTGCCCCCCCTCTCCCCCTTATGCTCTATGGGTCAGATGGAGGGGGGCGAGGGGCTGGGCTCCTTTGCCCATCTGGGCGAGCCTGACTTTTTTTTATGCTGCCCCGCCCCCCCCTACTCGGTGCTTCACGGGCCAGATGGAAGTGGGCGAGGGGCTGGGAAAGCCGCTTTACGCCTTTAAGCACACAGGGGTAGGACCCGCAGGCTTGCAGGTCCTATAGTGTTTTGGCAGATTTGGACATCAGCTTCGTATTTGAGGAGTGCGGGTGGTTTTTGTGGGTTTTCTCGTTTCTGCTTCTAGAGCGAAAACCTAGGTTTTGCAGAGCTACGGCGCACGTGGTTGAATGTTTGCAAGTACGTTTAGTGCGATTTTTCGGGACCAAAAGGGCACCACGCGCAACGTTTGAAAAAAAAACTAGGCCGGCAATAGTAAAAATCACCAAAAATGTAGCTATTTTGGGCCTCGTTTGTGCTGTTTCCAATGGTGAAAGAGCCATGGTTATGCAGGTATTGTTGTCTTCAGTCTGCACGAAAATCCGGCTTGAAAAGCTCAAGTGTCATTATCCAAACAATACCCCCAAACACAGGCATGCCTCTACGTCACCAACCAACACCAACACCAGCAGCAACCACAACTACAACCACAACGACAACCACAACCACAACTGCAACAACAACAACAAGAACAACCACGACGACAACGACGAGGAGGAGGAGGAGGACGACGACGACAACATCAACGACACCAGAAAACAACGACACAAGACAGGAGTTTCGAAATTGTAATCCCCCAATATTCAGACGCGAAACCAGACCTTGCAAATGGTGGTTCCCCAATAGCTGCATGCAAAACACAAGCAAAACAAGACCCTGCAAATGGTAATTCCGCAATAGCTTCATGCAAAACACAAGCAAAACACGACGCTGCAAATGGTAATTCCGCAATAGCTTGATGATTAGGAGAAGCAAACCAGGCTTAGGAAAGCAAAGCGGGCGTGCCAGACCTCCGCCTCGAAACCTCGGCCGCAAGAGCTCAGAGTCTCGGCCGCTACGGATGTTGTTGTTACCACTCCTAAACGATGACGACGACACTGCTGCCGCTGCTGCTGCTTACGATGCTACTACCTAACGAGCCAGGTTTGTGAAAGGAAAGGCTAGGCAGCCCGCCCCTCCCCCACGGAGCATAAAAAGAAGCCTAGGTCAGCATAAAGGAAGGAGTCACAGCATAAAGAACACCCCGGTCAAGCATAAGAAAAAGCGGGTGTAGCATAAAAACACAGCCGGCCACGGGGCCAGCATAAGAAAAAGCGGGGTATAGCATAAGAAAAAATTCGGTGTCCAATAAGATTTTCCCTCTCGCACCGCCGAAGCTGCGAGGCTGCTGGGGAACTACCTTCGTACAGACAGGAACAAGCGTAAATTGTACTCGTCAGGCACCTAGTTCTGGAACCAAACAGGCGCTGAGGCAAAGAAGCAATTAATGCCACACAGCCATTGTACATAAGGTACATAACATAGACAGGCCAGGGGCAAAAGGAGACAAACAGCAAGCAAGCGCTGTAAACAGACCAGGGGCACTGCCACTTAGCAACCCCTGTGCATAAGATAGAATGATAGCAGCAAAACCACACAACAAGCGTTGCAAACAGGATCCGGGCAATGCCACACAGCAACTGCTGTACTGCTGTACATAAGATACAAGCAACAAGCGCTCAAACAGGATGACGTCAGTGCCAGACTGTACGTAAGCTAGAATGATGGAAGCAGAGCCGCACAGCAAGCGCTGTAAGCAAGATACGGGCATTTTCCAGCAGCAGCCGCTGGACATAGCATAGAAGCAAAACCACACAGCAAGCGCCGTGGCATT